AGAAATGCTACAGCTTATAATAGTAGTGTTACTGCTGAAAATAATGCGATTGCTAGCATTTATACTGTAAATAGAGCAAGTGCTAATACAAATACTTATTCTATAAATACAAATGCTCAAAGGTTTCTCCCAATAGAGACTGGGTCTGTTCCCCGAATAAAACAAAGCATCAAAAAGCCTCGAAAAGTTTGCTTTAGTAACTTGATTAATATCAGACCAGTTATACCAGTTTGCAGTGACAGCACATTTGGTCTAAAACTAGGATTGATTAACATAAGATCCCTCACATCTAACGCTGTCGTTGTAAATGAAATTATTACCGATCATGATTTTGATGCTCTGTGCCTCACAGAAACGTGGATTTGACCGGATGACTACTTTAGTCTAAACGAAGCCACACCCCCAGGCTACAGCTATGCACATAGCCCTCATTTAAACGGCCAAGGTGGAGGTATAGCAACCATCCATACTAAAGCTTTAGGCGTGAGCCAGAAAGTAGGCTATGAATTCTCTTCTTTTGAAGTTCTTTTACTAAATATACATGATCAAGGAACAAATAAAAATTCCTTGTCATTAATTACAATTTACAGGCTTCCAGGGCCGATTCTCAGTTCTTATAGGAATTCTCTGAGTTTCTATCAAGTCTAATAACACTTTCAAATAAAATTATAGTTGTTGGAGATTTTAATATCCACTTTGACAATCCTCAAGATGCACTAAGTAAGGTATTTATATCTATCATAGACTCCATAGGTTTCACCCAAATCATAAAGGGGCCCACACACTACCACAACCACACTCTAGACTTAATACTAGACTTTGTTGTAGACATAGATAACTTAGCCATTCTCCCTCAGAGCACAGCAGTCTCAGATCATTACTTAATCTCATACGAAATTCACTTTAGTGGTAATAAGCGTTCATCACCATGCTATCGTGTTAAGTGGACTATAACTTCCTACACAGCTAGCTAGTTTATTAGAAACATTCCTCAATTATCAGCTTCTGTCAGCTGTCCATTTAATCCTACCGAGTTAGATATTATGACCAAGCTCTTAGAGGATAATTTTCGATCTACTCTAGAAAGTGTGGCTCCATAAAAAAGTAAAATAGTAAGGCAGAAAAAACTCGCTCACACTCAGGCTTTAAAACAGTCTGCCAGACAACTAGAGTGAAAATGGCGCCTGACTAAGCTAAAAGTGTTCCAGTCCGCCTGGAAGGAGAGCCTTATAGACTATAGAAGAGCACTTGCTACAGCACGCTCAGCCTATCTCTCCTCTTATATAGATTACTTTTCAGCACAATTTCTAAAATAACAGAGAACAAACATTTAGTGAACCCCAGATGCCATTAGCCTATAGCAGCAATGATTTTATGAACTTCTTTAGTGATAAAATTGAAAAAATTAGGCAGAAAATTCAGAATGCACAATTAAGCTCTACAAACCTGCTTCCCCATAATGCCAGCCTCAATCTTGAGAATATTATAATCCCTGCAGAGAGGCTTGAATCATTTACTTTACTTCAACAAAATGAACTAGTTAAAATCGTTTTTTCCACAAAATCATCTACTTGTATGTTAGATCCAATTCCTACAGGTATACTCAAGGACATTTTGCCAGAAATAACCAAGCCTATTCTGTCAGCAATAAACTCCTCTCTTAGCCTTGGATACATCTCAAAAACTCGTAAACTAGCAGTAATTAGACCACTGATTAAGAAAGCTAACCTTGATCCCTGCGAACTATCAAATTATAGACCTATGTTGAATCTCCCCTTTATATCTAAGATCTTGGAAAAAGTTGTAGCAAAACAATTAAGCTCCTATTTGCATAGGAATCAAATGCATGAAAATTTTCAATCTGGCTTTAGGCCACATCATAGTACAGAGACAGCACTAGTAAAAAAAATTGTAAATGATTTATTACTATTCTCTGACCAAGAAAATGTGTCCTTGTTAGTTCTCCTCAATCTTAGTGTGGCATTTGATACAATGGACCATGCTATCTTACTAGATAGACTAGAAAACCATGTTGATTGAGGACTGTATAAAAGACATAAAAGACTGGATGTCTTTTATGGCTCCACCTCTATCCCTTAGAACTATGTTTTTACAAAGACTATAAATACATGATGAATGTGATACTAAGCCTTGTGCTCCCTGCATCTGTTGTGTGATTTTATTTTTTACAGTTTTTGTTCTACGGTGGTTGACTTGTATAATCTTAATACTTTTTTTTTTAAAAATGCAGAGTTTTGTTGTTAACAGTAGCTCAAGCAATAATCTTTTAACAGAATTGTCAAGATCTTTATTTGTAAAGATGACGGTGATGCAGGTTCTGGTGGGGATTTTCCTCTGTGTAAACTGCCTGATGATATTCACCTTTCTGAAAAAGGAGGTGATCTGTCCTTCAACGCACATATAAATAATATTACTAGAACAGCCTTCTTGCATCTCCGCAATATTTCTAAATTAAGAAATGCATTATCTCTACAGGATGCAGAAAAGTTAGTTCATGCATTTATTACTTGAAGGCTAGATTACTGTAATGCCCTGCTGGCTGGATGTCCCAGCAAAAGCTTAACAAGCTTCAGCTAGTTCAGAATGCTGCAGCCAGAGTTCTTACAAGAACCAGAAAGTTTGACCATATCAGCCCAGTTTTATTAACCTTACACTGGATACCAGTTAAATTTCGCATCGATTATAAAATTCTCTTACTGACTTACAAAGCCCTAAACAGACACCCCTCAGTGCCTGAGTGAACTTCTCTCCCACTATGAACCATCACACCTACTTAGATCACAAGGTGCTGGCTTACTATTAGTAACTAGAATTAATAAAGTCACGTTAGGGGGGAGAGCCTATTCATACAAAGCCCCCCAGCTTTGGCATAATCTTCCTATTAATGTTCGGGACTCACAGACACAGCCTCAGTGTTTAAGTCTAGGCTAAAAACGTACTTGTATAGTCAAGCCTTTGGTAATTAGTTTTCCCTGTCAGTTCTATACCTGCCAGAGTCTCTGCTGCTCTGCTAACACTGTAATTTGTGATCAGTCACCCATTACAGAACTGACTCTCTGTGTGTTTTTCCTTTCTTTCTTTTCTTTGCCGAGTTGAACAGCTGCCCATCCTGTGCATTCTGATGCTGCTGCCTCTTCTGCCTTGATCGGGTGTCACTGCTCGCCAGCCCTCTGGACCGCCTTGATCACCATTGAGCTTCTTGCTGTACAACGCCGTGCAAACCTCACCCTCACACCCTGACCCCACTGATGCTACTGCTGTTGCTGCATGAACTAAACTAATCAAAATGAATCATTTGCTCCAACTGTTTTCCCCATTTTTGTACTATAATACTTTATACTAACAATGTTTACAATCCGTTGTCGACCAGAGGAGGATGGGTTCCCCTTCTGAATGTTGGTTCCTCTCTCTTTCTTCCTGTTTCTCCCTAGGGAGTTTTTCCTTGCCACTGTCGCCTCAGCTGACTCAGAGAGACGTTGAAGAAGTCAGTTAGGACATCTGCAAGCTGGTCAAAACATCCCCTGAGCACCCAGCCAGGTATGTTGTCAAGGCCAGCAGCCTGACCTGAGTGCACTGCCACATACTGTGTCTCTTAGGCATCTAGAAAGTTTCTGTGGATTCTCTGTGCATAGTTGCGCTTTGCCTCTCTGATAGCCTGGGAAATGTTGGCTCTTGCTGTTCTGAGAGCTGCCTTGTCATTTGTCACTTGAAGGCAGCATGCCGGGTTTTTTTAGCAGGGCAGCTCTGAAGTCATCCACAGCTTCTGGTTAGCATGTGTGGTGATGGTCTTGAAGGAAGTCACATCATCTATGCACTTGCAAATGTAGCCAGTTATTGATGTTGTATATTCCTCTAAATTTGTTGATCTATTAAATGTACCAGCCACCTTGAAAACATTCCAGTCTCTGTGCCCAAAACAGTCCTGAAGAGCCGAGATGGCCTCCTCAGACCAGGTTCCCACCTGTTTCAGAACTGGCTTGGCTCTGTTGGCACAGTGAGCTATTAGCCCCACTAGCTGTATGGCCACGTCTGACTTGCTGTCAGTCAGCCATGTCTCTGCAAAAAAGGTGAGGCGATCCAGTTTATTGTGAAAAGAGCAGACGTTGGAGAGGAGAAGAGATGGCAGAGCTAGGCGGCTAGGGTTAGTTTTTAACCTAGCTTGAGTCCCAGAGTGTTTACCGCATTTCTGCTTTCTGTCACATAGTTTTACACGCATCCCAGTCAGTGGCATCTCACAGTCCCGAGGCCTGGTTCGCAAAACAGCGCGAGGTCGCCCAGCGCCTCCAACAGTCCAACATTTATTACAGCGAAACTCTGCTTACAATATCAAGCAGGGTCTGGCAATGAAAGACATCACCAGTTCATCAGTGTTTCTGATGCAAATCTTGAACAGAATTGTTTAAGATAACAGACTACACTACATAAAAGCACCATGTTGTGAGGACTCAAAGCAGCCGTTACATCAGAAACATGCTGCTGCCTCTTGCCATGATATTTATTTTGTTTCTGTGTGCTAAAATTAGCATGGTGGCAAGTTCAATGTAATTTCTAACCTCAGTAGCATAGTATTATAAACAGGAAAGTCTGCAATATATAATGACTCTTAAAGTATGCTGCAATTTCTCATTAGGTTGCATTGGATTTTTGCCAACATTTTGTTTTACCGCTTCACACTTGCCACAAAAGGATGCCCTGTAAACAGAGCATAGATGTCAATAGACAAGAGCTATTGAAAGGCAAAAACGCAGTGTAAAATAACATTTAAATTGTTATTAAATTATTAATCAAAGTTTTTGCTATCCTATTGTTTTAGCAAAATGAAGTAACACAGGCTCCACCTCCATACCTTTTCAAAGACTATAAATACATGATTAATGTGATCATAAGCTTTGTGTTTCCTGGATCTGTTGTATGTTTTTATTCTATAGTGGTTTGCTTGTGTATTTGTTTAATCAACTGTAATATCTTTTTTTCCAAAAATGCAGAGCTCGGTGGATAATAGTAGTTCAAGTACTAATCTGTTAACAGAATTGCCAAGATCTTTATTTGTGAAGATGACGTTGGTGCAGGTACTGGTGGGGATTTTTCTCTATGTGAACTGTCTGATGATATTCACCTTTTTGAAAATGGCAGTGTTCAGGGAGGACAATCGCTACATTTTGTTTGGGCAAACCCTATTTGTTGACTCTACTCTCATGGTTTTATCTGATGTGCTGATGATTTTAAATTTATACCAGTACCACTTCCATGTAATCCCTTGTATTATTGTGTGTACATTTGCAACTATTTTTACCATTTGTACTCCACTGACTCTTGTGGCAATGTGTCTGGAGCGCTATGTTGCTATATGCATGCCTTTAAGACATGCTGACATCTCCACCAGCAGGAATAGATGTTTTGGATTTCTGATCATATGGGGTATGAGCTCCATAGTTCCATTGTTCACTGTTATAGCGTATATCTCTGTAGTTCCTCCTGCTGCTCTGTTCTCCTATACTGTCTGTAGTGCAGAGTTAATGATGGGAGAAGAGTGGCAGGCACAAACACGTGCTACAATTTTGCAGATCCTTTTCCTCTTTATGATCCTCATTATTGTCTTCACTTACATCAAGATAATGATTGCAGCCAGAGCTGCCTCCTCTGAGAATAAGAAATCAACCAACAAGAGTCTCAGAACTGTGATCCTTCATGCCTTTCAGCTGTTTCTATGTATTATGCAATTTTTAACCCCATATATAGAAATGGCATTTTGGAAGGTTGAATTTCAGGTGTTTGATAATGTAAGATATACTAATTTTGTTGTTTTTATTATTGCACCACGTTGTCTTAGCCCATTGATTTATGGTCTCAGAGATGAAAAGTTTTTTCTTGTTTTGAGACATAATGCTAAATGTGGTTTCACAGTTTTTTCTCAAGTTTATTCAGAGATGGGAAGGTAAGACTTAACTCAAAATAAATGCAACAAATTTTATAAAGAGCTCAATATCATAGTTTATTCACTGTGCTTTGTCACTCATTAATGAGATTTATTGAATCAGTACAATAATGAAAATACCAAACTCCTCACTTAATGCTAACCATCTTCTATTTCTTTGGTAATTTATGCTACAATGTAAAATCTAGTTTCACAGATCCAATTTAAGATTAGGTTGTTTTCAGACTTTGCAAGCTTTATAAGGTGACAAAAAACTGTGTTTTGATTTTCTTCTAAACTGTATTTTGGGGGGGGTATATGTTTGTTTTCTTGCTTACCAGGTGTAACTATAATTAACATTCAGAAAGAATGATTAAAATATATATGTAATATATATTTTACACATAATACAATATACAAAATACATTATAATACAATGCTTCTCAAAGCAAAATTTTACAGATGTTTTTTAAACATTTTAAACATCTTAAAATCACAATGGTTAGAAACACGGTCAACAGTTTCATTACTAGGAAAGCTCCTCTGGTGTAGGGGTGTGATGCCTTGACAAATGTAGAAGTGTGTCCATCGTCTTTAAATCTTTGGCATTGTTGGTCCTGATGCCATGCTGGACAGTCACATTGTAGTCCATGTTTCGTGAGATCTCTTTTTCTACAAAGGACAGTGCTGCAAAATCTGCATGACTGCTAGGTCACTGAAAGGAGAAAAAACAAAGAAATAAAACTATCGTCTGTATTCAAACAAGTAATCAAATCAGGGTGGAAAAGACCTACACAGTAAGATGTGAATTTACTACAAAAATGTTCACACTACAGGATATTGTCTCCAATATTGCACACTCAAACTGCTGAATAATTAACTAGTGCAGAAAACTGAACCATATATTTTAGTGAAGTGAAAAAGTAGCAAAATTAACTAAGGCCATACCAAAGAACTAAAGCATACTATAGTGAAGGAAATAATTCAATAGCTGTTTGTGTTCATGGACTTTGGAACCCCTGAAGTTGTCTTAGCCACTTCTGGACACTCCATTTACAAAGTCCTAGAAATGACACTCAATGCAGCTTAGAAATATCAGAAAAAATGAAAAGAAAAACAAAAAGTACAAGTATCATCCTTACTAGCTGGAAATGTACATAACATGCTACATATCATTACTGAACAAGGACACACAGTGTCATTAGTTGGGTTGCACATTTTGGCATATTGAATAAAAAAGATTACATGAAAATGGCAAATTATTGAATAGAAATGAATGTACAACTTTGTATGCTTTCTAAAGATTATATTTTCACAATTTACAAGGAACTATGTACAGGATTTTGTCAGAGGTGTGTAAAGCTACCGTACCCCATACTCAAGTAAAAAGTATTACCATAACATAAAAAGTTACTCCAATGAAATGATGACTCAATCAGAAGCCTAGCCTACAAAAACACACTTTGAAAAGTATGAGTAAAAGATATCAGTATATTTCAACGAGAACCACCAAAATTGAGCATTTATTGCAGGACTGCAGCTGAATTTAATACATTCAGTATTTATCAGTTTTGTGCTATTTTCTTTTTAAGACTCCTTTTGGTCCAAAATAAAATGTTAAAGCTCCAAAATGAGAGGTTTGAGCAGCAGTAAAGCAGCCCAGATGCTGAACCAACAGAATGAAAACTAAAATTAAGATTTCAATATGAAGTGAAGGTGAATAAAACATGGATTGCTTTATTAACATGCAAGCTATTTGAGTGACTGTCATGTAAATTTACACAAATAATTGCAAATCCATACACTTCTTTTACACTCTTACTAACTAAAACTGACTGGCTAACCTTCAAACAGCTCATTAAATAGTGAAGCTAGAAGCATAGATTGAGAGAGAAAATTAAAATTATTATTAACCTTCATGCTTGGTTTCAGGAAGTTAAGTCTGACCTTATGCTAGCTAGCTAAGAAACTTACGCTCACTTTACTTTAAGGCTATGATAAAAATCACAGTACAGTTTGAGAGTTTTATTAACACAATTGACAGTCAGTACAGAGTTCCATTAGGTTGTACTTCATTTTACTTCACAAAACATAAACTCCCTCAATGTGTTATTTGAATCGATGAATTTACTGAACCAACACAAATGCATTGGAATTGCTGAGAAAATATAGAGATTATTATTGTGATTAGTTGGATCAGGTGTGTAGGGAGCAGGAAAACACTAAATTGTGCAGGGCAGGGGGTTCTCCTGGACCAGGGTTGGGGACCCCTGAGTTAATCCTGTTATTATCATAGTCATTAAAGTGCATCTAAAAAAAAGGCACAGTGTATTACAGTGTATGCTTAGTTGGTATGCTAAGCATGAATTTGAGTACACTGTAGTACAAGACAGAACAAAAATAGTTCTGTAAAAATACTTGATTGAACAATATTGATAAATATACTAATTACATAACAAGGACACGATTACTACTGCAAAAATAATTTTAGCTTTTAACTTTGAATGTAAAACCCCATTTTCAAAAAAGTTGGGATATGAAGTTGGGAAAATATATGTCCATTTTGAATTTGATGCCAACAACATGTTTCAAAAAAGATGGGACGGGACAACAAAAGGCTGGTAAAGTTATGTAATGCTAAAAAAAAAACACCTGGTGGTTGATTGGCAACAGGTCAGTAACATGACTGGGTATGAAATGAGCATCTCAGAGAGGCTGAGTCTTTCAGAAGTAAAGATGGGGAGGGGTTCACCACTCTATAGAAGACTGCGCAGGCAAATAGTGCAACAATTCAAGAATAACATTTCTCAACGTAAAATAGCAAATAATTTTTGCTTTTCATCATCTATAGTACATAATATCATCAACTGAGTCAGAGAATCTGGAGAAATCTCTTTATGCAAGGAACAAGACCAAAAAACAGTATTTGCTGGCCATGATCTTTAGGCCCTCAGGCAGCACTGCATTAAAAACATACATGATTTTGTAGTGGAAATCACTGCATGGGTCTAGAAAAACACTGTCTATGAAAACAGTTTGGCGCTGCATCCACAAATGCTAATTAAAACTCTTAAACACAAAGAAGAAACCATATATAAACAGGATCCAGGAATGCTACCACCTTCTCTGGGCCCGAGCTCATTTAAAATGGACTGAGGTGAAGTGCAACAGTGTCCTGTGGTCCAACTAATCAATGTTTGAAATTCTTTTTGGTAATCATGGACACTATGTCCTCCGAGCTAAAGATTACTCAGCTTGTTATCTATGCACAGCTCAAAAGCCAGTATTCATGATGGTACAGGGGTGCATTAATGCACATGGCATGGGTGACTGGCACATCTGTGAAAGCACCATTAATGCTGAATGATATATACATGTTTTGGCAACATATGCTGCCATCCAGATGACATCTTTTTTCAGGGAAGGCCTTGATTATTTCAGCAAGACAATGCCAAACCATATTCTGCATGTATTACAACAGCATTGCTCCTTATTAAAAGAGTCTGGGCGCTAAACTGGCCTGCCTGCTGTCCAGACCCGTCACCACTGAAAACATTTGGCACATTATAAAATGAAAAATACGACAAAGAAGACCCCGAACTGTTGAGCAGCTGAAATAATGCATCAAACAAGTATGGGAAAACATTTCACTTTCAGAACCATAGCAGTTGGTCTTCTCAGATCCCAGGCACTTACAGAGTGTTTGTTAAAAGAAGAGGTGATGAAACACAGTGGTGAACATGCCCCCATCCCAACTTTTTTTGGAACATGTTTTGGCATTAAATTCAAAATGGGCATATATTTTTCAAAAAACAAAAAAAATTCTCAGTTTCAGCATTTGATTTGTTGTCTTTGTACTATTTTCAATTAAATATAGAGTTTAAATTATTTGCACACCTTTGCATTTTGTGTTTATTTGCATTTGTCACAGCATCCCAACTTTTTTGGAAAAGGGGTTGTATTTTTGGACTCCCGCCTGGTAGCAAAGACAGGTATATTTAAATTATATTCTAAGAGTGGTGAGAATAACATGACTGGTATACCTAGTACAAATAAAGCATGACTTAAATATATATCAAATAGATATTAGTAGTGATTTAGTACAAATTAGTGGTTCCAAAATATAGTATATTTAACCACTTCTTACATAAACTTTTTCACAGGAGAAAGTCGTTATAATTTTTCAGGTAATGTAAAATCTTTGACCTTGAATAACAACAGATCAGAGGAATATTTTGATGTAAGTACCCTGACATCCACTGTTAGATCTACATTTGATGTAAAAAATTGTCATACAATTAACACAATCAATATTAAAGCTGTTTTGAAGTATACTTGCATTTACACATTCAATATGGCTAGACATCACCTTTATCACTAATATTATCATACTGCTAATACAGAATACTTTATTGAGAGCATTGTTTCAAGCACACTTCTTGAAATATAGGTTTAACACAAATATTATAAATTGTAAATATTGTTTAGAAATACTCTGTATAGTTTTAGCATAAAATAAGCAGTTTATTGTAAGCACATTTTCAACACAAAATTAATCTTTTAGCAAAATGTTAACACAGAAATAATACTCTTTTACAGTTTTAGGAAAAATATGCATAGTTCATTGTAAGCATAATTTGATGAAGCACCTTTTCGACACAAAATTTTCAAGGATGCTTCATTGAAGCACACATTTAACACAAAAATATTGTGTTCGTGAAAGTATAGTACATTAAGCACAGTTCATTGTAAGCATAATTTAATGAAGCACTGTTTCAAAATTGAATAAAAAAATAAAAAATATATTTTTAAAACATTTAATTGAGGTACATTTCTAACACAGCAATAACACATGCTACTAGGACACATTTTGCAAAATACAGTTGCATCAGTACCAAATTAGCACATCCAAAAGAAGTATACTTTTTCAAAGTATACTAAAATATATATTTAGTAGGTAAAAGTTCAGTAGCCCTTCATCAATGGGTAGTTTCTCTCAACCTAGCAGTGATGTGTAAAGAAACCAGCTTCACCGCTGCTTCTGATACACCCATGCCAGCACCACTCACACCACCTTGTCACGGCTGTGGTCCACCGACCATATAATATC